TACCAACAGCGATCTTGAGGAAGAAGAACAAAGTTGGAGGCATCACACTACCTAGTATCAAACTATACTATATAAGTCCATAGTAATCAAAACAACATGGTCCTGGCATAAAAAAAGATATACAGATCAATGGAACACAATAAAGAGCCCAGAAATAAACCTATACCTTTATAGTCAATTAATATTTGACAGAGGAAGTATACAATGGGCTAAAGGTCATTTATTAAATAAATGGTGTTGGGGAAATTGGACAGAAACATGCAGAAAAATGAACCTAGACCACATTCTCACTCTACATACAAGAACAAATCCCAAATAGCAGTAAAATCTCAGACATTGCTCAGACATTCTTCGTGATCCTCAGGCAAGGGAATAAACAAATGGGACTACACCAAATTAAAATGTTTTTGCACAGCAAAGGGATCATCAAAAAATAAAAAGACAACCCACTCAACTGGAGAACATATTCACCAATACATCTGATAAGAGTTAATATCCAAAATGTATAAAGAACTTACAAAACTCACACCAAAAAAACGAACAATCCAATTGGTAAATGGGCAAAGGACCTGAATAGACATTTCTTCAAAGAGGACACACTAATGGCCAATAGACATATGAAAAGATTCTCAGTGTCACTAATCATCAGAGAAATGCAAATAGAAACCACAATGAGATACCACCTTAAACCTGCCAGGATGGCTATCATCAATAAATCAGAAAACAAGTTCTGGCAAGGATGTGGAGAAAGGGGAACCCTTTTGCACTGCCGGTAGGAATGCAGACTGGTGAAGCCACTGTGGCAAGCAGTATGGAGATACATCAAAAAGTTAAAAATGGATTTGCCTTTTGATCCAGCAATTCCACTTCTGGAAGTTTATCCAAAGAAACCCAAAACACTAATTCAAAAGAATATAAGCACCCCTATGTTCATCACAGCATTATTTACAATTGCCAAGATATGGAAGCAGCCCAAGAGTCCATCAGTAGATGAGTGGATAAAACAACTATGGGACATTTACACAGTGGAATACTACGCGGCCCTAAAAAAAGAAAAGAAAATTTTGCCCTTTGAGACAGCATGAATGGACCCGGAGAACATTATGCTAAGTGAAATAAGCAAGTCAGAGAAGACAAATACCATATGATTTCACTCATATGTGGAATCTAATGAACAAACTGAACTAACAAGCAACATAGAGACATACAGAAAGTAGGCTGAGAGCTATAAGGCAGGGCAGTTGGGGGATGGATAAAAAGAACTCAAGGACACAGACAACAATGCAGTGACTGCACGAGTCAGGGGTGGGGAGGTGGAAGAGGGTATTAGGGGGATAAATGGTAATGGAAAAAATACAGTAAATCTATACTGTGATATTATTAAAAAAGAAATTATAGAATATGAAAGACAAAAGTATATGCTTGGAGATTTCATTCTCATATTTAAGAAAATGTACTAAAATCATTTTCATTTTAATTACATATTCACACTCTTCCGTAACACTTTCCTTGCAGGTCAACTTTCTCAACATCCAACAGCCAATAAAATTAGTCAAAACATAACTCTCTTCCCTATGGTGGGATACAAACCAATCTTCCCTTACTGACATAGTACTGTTCACCCCAACCGGGGTCTCTTCTACCCATCTCTCTCATTGCTCCACTATTCAGGATTCCCTCTCCATTGCTAAGGAAATCTGTTTCTCTATCTATTCTATGATTGTGTCAGACAGACAAAGACTGTGACAAGGCAATAATCCAGAATACATTACTTGCACCTAGCATTCAGTACCTCTCTCTTCTCCATTCATGCCCAAGTCTAAAGAAGTAAACATTAATTCTGTATTCTGTGTGTCTTCACATAATACGTAGACCAAAATTATTCACAGTGTTTTCAATTACATTCACATCGCCCCTTTACAGAAAGCAAATTACACACAAATTATGGTGGACAACAGGACAGATCAGAAAGAGAATGTGATCTGTCATCACTCACTCTACCACTGGGACTTTGAAAAATTTTAAATACACCTGCTTTTCTCCTGTCATGAGGATAAAATGAGAACTTTTGAGGAAAGTATTTGGTATATAATAAAACACCAAATCAATTTTTTTAATCTATGACAATGGTATTATGATTAAATAAATTCCCTATAATCTGTAATCCAATGTGTTCCCACAGGTTCCAAACCTCAAATAAGTTTGACAAATGTCCTTTTTCCAAGAGGGCAAAAGAAAAAGATAATGAAGACAAACTGAATAGCCTGTGACATACATAATAAAAACAGCTTGCTTGGGTGTCTGGTATGTTGTCCCTAAAAACAATTTCTGAAACAGAAACAAAAATACTGGAACAAAACCAGCAGTGTCTGAAAAATTCCTTAGTCTCCCAAGGGAAATGCACCCATTCACATGTGTAAATGATAGTATCATGTCCCCTTTTGTTTATGGTTTGTTTGGTTCTCATTACTTTATAAGGCCTATCCTTAAAAATAGGTAGCAAAGAAAAGAAGTAGACTGTGGTGATGATATAATACTAAAATATAAAATGTAAGAACAAAAGCTAAAATGGGTAGCTTACTGAGATTGCGGATATAAAATCACACTAAAAATCAAATGCCTTGCAAAATATAATTAAAAATAAAAATAATAATTTGAGTATAAATACATACTGATTTTGAAAACTCAAAGGCAGATAATAGGTATACTTGACAAGATCAGACGATGCCCACCCCCCCAAAAAAAAAACCGGCATTAAGCCTTCTATTTGAGCTAAAGAACAAATAATTTCAACTCTACTCGTTGTGTATAGTACTAGGGAATGTGCAGGAAGACAAAGGGGAAAAAAATTCATTTATCAGCATGTCAGAATCCAACTTTCTGCACCAAAGGTTCCTCGCATTTGACACATATGCCACATTACTTCCATAATACTTCCAAATTATTATATTTTTAAAAAGCATGCATGCCCTGGCCAGGTAGCTCAGTTGGTGAGAGCACTGTCCAGATGTGCCAAAGTTGTGAGTTCAATCCCCAGTCAAAGCACATACAAGAATCAACTCACAAATGCACAGGTAAGTAGAACAACAAAGTGATGTTTATCTCTTTCTCTCTGCCCCCTTCTTCTCTCTCTAAAACCAATTTTTAAAATAGAGCATCCAAGTATTTAATACCTGCAAACATATTCTAATTTAAGATTTTTACATCACTACTATTAGATACTTTCCTTTACTATTTAAATTACAAAGATTGGCATTCACAGGTATATCACTGAGAGTCAAATAATTAAGATGTTTAAACCCATGTTTATAGAAACCTCAACAACAGAAACCTTTTGACTCATTATAAGTCAACCACATACATCTTATATAATTTGAAAATATAGGTTTCCATATGAATTCTATAATTCACAGCAAACAAAACTATCAAAGTAAAAGAATAAGAAATTTAGTAATTCACTCATTCATTCATGAACCATTTATGAAATCTGCAACAGGATCTATACATTATACCAGGTCCTGAACACACACTGGTCTTTAAGACATTAATTTCAAGGAATTTAGAATCTAGTAGGGAAGGCAGACAAACAAATTCTGTAGGACAAGGGCCACAAAACAAGTTAAAAGCCAGGGACAGTATATTAGTGTTTAAGGACATCTTGGAAATCAACAGGAAAGACACCAATACCATAAGCGATACACATACACAGAAATTATATTAACAGGGACCCCCCCCCCCAAAAATGGAATTATCTTCTGAAGGACTGACCCCTTGTAAACAGACTTTCCCTGCTACATGAGTGTTCTAGGAACCCATCTGTATCAGTGTACCAGCTGCTTTTGTAAGAGGCTGTGTTCAGCTTTAGTGAAGTTTTTTTGAAGGCTCTTTCAATGCCTTTTGCCCGTATCCTGATGGGTGATTTATGAGTGTACTTGCCCACAGGGTGCTGAGTGTTCAGCAGATGTTGACCAAACACGCGTGACACCCATACCCAACTCTCCTTATTCACCCAATCTCACCCAGAGCGACGTTTTTTGTCAGTTTTACCAAATAAAAAAAGTTCTCAAAGGGAAACATTTTGCTGATGTGGAAGAGGTAAAACAAAAAACAGCAAAAGCACTAAAAGGCATCAAAATAGACGAGTTCAAAAATTGTGTTGCACAGTAGAAATAATGTCTTAATCGGTGTATTGCATCAAATGGAGTACTTTGAAGCTGACTGAGGTTTAAACAGATAAGAATAAATATACAATTTTTTTATAAATAAATTCTGTGTTGTTTTGGGTTCCCCCTATAAGTGGCCTTTAAATAGAAGTGCCAGTTTTCTATTTAAGACACTATACTGGTACCCAAATGCAAATGTCTCATTAAAAGTAAAACCCATGCCCTGGCCAGTGTGGCTCATTTGGCTGGAGTGTCATCCTGCAAACCAAACGGCTGCAGGTTCGATTCCCAGTCAGGGCACAAGCCTAGGTTGCAGGCTCGGTGCCCCATCAAGGCATGTATGAGATACAACCAATAATGTTTCTCTCCCTCTCTCCTCTCCTCCGTTCCCCTCTATAAGCATGTCCTCAAGTGAAGATTTTTAAAAAAGTAAAATTCATGTTTACAGAGATTAAACTGTTGTAAGGGACATCTGTAATTGTTTAAAAGAGAAGTAGTATATTAAGAATCACAATGAAATATCTTCACAATAAACCATGAAACGCAATCATATTCCTTGATGTTGGAATCATGAGTCTGGCTACTTTAAAAATATGCATCAGAATACCAGTAAATGAGAAGATTAAACTTCTCAAGAGTTCCCAAATTTTAAAAAAGTGAGAATTCTTTGGCACCAATCTGTAAATATGGACAAAGAAGAAAGAGTACACTACAAAGAAAGTCATTTTACAAATATTTCCTAGTTCTTGCTTTCCCATAGTTGCTCAAAAGCAACAAAGCAACAAAATAAAAAGTGATGGGAAATAGTAGAAGACCCTCCACTGGGAATACACTTACCTGTAAAGCTTTATTCTCTTTAAGGTCCAAGCCAAACACATTGTGCCGCTTCACCTTAAAGAAATCAGCATCAAGTCCATCTCCCTCCTCCTCCTCCTCCTCCTCCTCATCTCTGGCCAAGAACTGCATAGGAGCTTCCTTGTTCTTTGGTGACTCATCAGGGCTAGGGACAGATTCCGGTTGATACTCTTTAGCTCTTCCCAGTTTCCCTTCTATTTCTTCTTCATCCTCCTTCTCTTTTTCTTCATCACTAATGCCATTAACCAATCCATACTCTGTGTCTCCTGGTCTTTTTCCACTTTTCTGAAGGATGGACATTTTCTCACTGAAGTAGGCTCTAAATTCTTCCACTTCATCATTGGTGAGGGAAGGAGCCCTTAGCTCACTTACTTTATTATCTTGGCACACTACCAATTCTTTGATGGGTTGTTTCTGCATTTTCTGAAGAAATCTTACCCGCGGTGCCACAGCAAGACCAAGAGACCTAAAATATGGGCAAACAAAACCAGTTATCTCAATACACTGATAACCTGTTTATGGTTATTATGAAAGAGTTTCTCAAGAGCTGAGATCTATTTTTAGATCTTTTCTCCAAAGAAAATTTTGTTCCTCAGAGATACAAAAAAAAGGCAAGCCAGAAAATACTGAATACCTGTCATAAAACACTGAAGACATCCCATTTTTCATTAAGAGGTTAACATGTCATAAAATAAAAGAGCATGAGACCAGAAACAAAAAAATGATTCAAGTACTAGATCTGCCTATTTCAAGTTTAACCCTTTCAGCTTTTTCAAACATGGGACGACAATACCTATCAGACCTATCTTACAATTATTGTGGAGCTCTGATAAACTAACCATATGAAAACACTTTGTAAAATGTTAAATATTAAAGCTGGAAAAGACATAACCATGAAAGAATGAAACAGTTCTCTGCAACAACAACGAAAACAAAACAAAACAAAAATCTTCCAGTATCATCATCCTCCCTTCTGAGAAACACAATATGACATAATCACTACCAAGAGATTTTTAAACCAGGGACCACAAGACAAGAAAAACTTATTTTCTCCCTCTAATATCAAGATTCACTTCATGATCAGGTGTTTTCCAGCTTCTAAGTTCCCACTGATAGATTGGACACCAACCCTTAAAGCAAGGTCTGCTGTAATAAACACCTAACATTATAACATGAATCCACTGCCTTGTTCCTGTAAGACATGATTCACAGAAAATGTGAAGTATAAGGTGTAAAGTGTAGATTCATAAATAGGACTGTTAAGGTTTAAATCCTGGCTCTGCCACTTAATAGCCAAGTGATCAAAGGACATTAATCTCCCTTCACCTCAGTTCCCTCATTTTCAAAACCCTATGATAAGAGTACCTACATCACAGGGTTGTTGTAAGAATAAAGTGTCCATAGATGCAATGTACTTAAAATAGTGCCTTGCATACTGGCAGCCACTACTGGGAACTTGTCATTATTACTGTTATAGGAGCTATGGATTAGGATCACAAGCTCATATCAACTCACTTCTCTCAGTGTATTATGGTTACATTTCTATGTCTCAGCTCCTAAAACTTAGAGCACCCTTCAGGTAGGAGTATACCGGATACCTCTTTAATTTTAACAGCTAGCACAATAAACTGTACATAATAGGTATTCAAAATGTTTCTTTAGAAAAATAATGTTTAAACCTTTATTATATCCTGCATACACAGCACTGCTTTAGGTATGAAAGTCTTCTAAAAGAAATTATAGAGCAAGAAAATTATAGCTCTATGAGTAGAATCCACAAAAATTAACTAAAAACAACAAATTAAACTGCACCAATAATTTGGCTCCGAAGTTAACTTTCTGCCTTCCCTAAGCATCATCAGTAAAAAGCATGCATCTTCAACTTTAAACAGATGAGATTTACTGGCAATAAAATGTCCCCTACATAGGGTCTCACTGTGTTAAAAGACCTGGGTCTCTCCTGTTTGCTAACATCTCAGCTAAGTCAGGACAGAACTTCATGGAGCACAAAAATTAGCTAATAACCTTAACCATGATTAGTATTCCGAAATGGTAAAATGAGTAACTGGTACATAAACAAACAAAAACGTACTATCTATGGCATGTTGTTTCCATTCATTACCAAGAAAGTCAGTGGCTTTACTTCTGTTATCTAGCAATTTAAATAGTTCTAAAATGTTACAACCAACAAACTACCTGTTTGCAATCTAACATGAAGAGTAGAAAGCAGCAGCTCACCCAGATACAAGTTTCTTTAGATTCAATTCAAAGGTAAAGACTTAAATTCCTGGAGAGCAGGCCAAATATACAGACTTTGCCTTGAAAGTACATACAGTATTTCATCACAGACTGGGAAATTTCACGCTGAAATTCAACATATGATCAACCTCAAGGGTGCTTCTATTAGATTTTGTCAATGCTTCTTCCACAGGTAGAACCCCACTGAAAAATGGACACTCCTCCTTTATAGCTGAAAAAGTTAGGGAAAAAATCCTACAAATACTAGCCAAAAGACCAAGAGTTCCATTTTCACATAATAGTAAGTTCAGTTACTAAAAAGGAACATTTTCCCATGATAACTGTGGGTACCTATAAGAAATACTAAGACACAAAGAATAGTTAGGCAATAAGCAGTATAGAATACCAATCTAAAATAAGGGAGGAACTGATGAAGAGTTTATCCAAAGCATGAAAAGAACTGTCTTTTGTAATGCAGGCCAGCATTTCAGAGAACGAGAGGACTGCAGACATTTAAAGATTTCAAAGAATGCTTATCATTTGCTCTCCACCTCCTTTAAGACCAAATTATAGGAAGCTGCCAGTGTAACTTTAAGGACTTTATATTTAAAAGAAACTTCTTCCTAATAAGAGCTGAATTCTCAATTAGTTTTCCAGTTTATAGAATCTTTTTCTCTGCAGAACTTTAAAAGATTCTCTTAAGCCTTAGGTAGAGGGGTTTAAACTAGGACTCTCAGAGAACCAGATTTCAAGGAAATTCCCTCTAACTTTGAGAATTCACAACTAAAATTATAACATGAGCCCTAGCTGGTGTGGCTCAGTGGACTGAGCACCAGCCTGCGAACCAAAGGATTGCTGGTTCGATTCCCAGTATAGCCCACAAACCTGGGTTGCAGGACAGATCCCCAGCAGGGGATGCACAAGATGCAACCACACATTGATGTTTCTCTCCCTCTTTTTCTTCCTCCTTCCCCTCTCTAAAAATAAATAAAATTCTTTAAAAAAGAAAAGTATAACATGAATACTTACAAGGCATATTCAGGTACAGGTAACTTGCTTACATCAAATATGTCTTTATCCTTCATTAGATATACTGAACGTATATAGGAGACAAAACACTGTAAAAGTAAAAAAGGTTTAAATATATGACATAATGATAGTCAGAAATAGAAAATAAAATTAAAGATAAAATTAGCCAAAGGAATATATTCAACAGTAGTGAAAAACCTCAAAAATAGTTGACTGTATCTTCCCCATTCCACAAAAAAAAAAAAAAAAAAAAACCCTACCTTTTTAGAACTATAATATTAAAAAGACTTTAAATTTGGCTTCATCAAGCCAACTCAATATAGAATATCATCTTCTCAGGAAACTATTCTCTAAGTTATTATCATTCAGTTGCAGTATGATGTAATGGGGGAAAACATAGGCTTTGGAGTAATACGCATGATAATCTGAGCTCTATATTTTACTTGCTGAAAAAGTTTATTTCTCTGTCAGTTCCCTTATCTATCAAACAGACATAATAGCACCTTGTATTATGAGAACTAAATAAGAAAATTCATGAAGAACACCAGGGCTTATCTTCTAGAATACGGAAAGTATCAATAAATTCTCATTATTAGTAATAATTATTACTGTAGTAAAAGACAAGTTTTCTAGCAAAATACAATTTTACTATGTCTAAATTCAACATAATAAAATCATGACAGGAACAAGTTCACTCCTCAAGTTTATTCCTTTTCTATTATAATTTCAAGTAATTCACCATCATTAAAATTTCAAGTAATCTGTCCTCATGCAATATATTCTTGTTTGTTTGTTTTTTAAATACTATATGCCAAGAGCAGTACAAATCAAAAATTAAACATGGTCAGTTTGTGAAATAAACAGGCGAAAAAGATTATAAAACACTCTAAGCAGGCATTTTTATTTTTAGATCTTAAAATGAATTTTTATAAAGTATATTTAATTTCCAATGTATATTTCTAAACTTCACATTTTCTCTAACTTTACATAATCCTTCCTTCGAACCATTTACACAAATTTTCATATCATTTTCTCTGTCTACATTTTCTCTGTCTACATGAGTGGCTCCGGTTCAAGTATAATTTTTTCCCCTACAATCATCACAGGAGTGTCCAACCTGTGGCCCTTGGGCCACATGTGCCCTAGGATAGCTATGAATGCAACCCAACACAAAATCGTAAATTTACTTAAAACATTGAGATTTTTCTGTTTTCATTAGTTTTGTGTATTTAATGTGTGGCCCAAGACAACTCTTCTTCTCCCAGGGTGGACCAGAGACACCAAAAGTTTGGACATCCCAGGAAGAAATCACCCAAGTTATACTGGGAAACGTCCTGTCTGGTTTCAAGAACTGTAGCCCCACTGACAGGCAAGAGGGCCCCAAGGCTGGAACTAATCAAGGAGGCCTTAGGAAAACAGGCCACTGAGGAGACAAAACCTGTCTCCCTGGCAGGGGCACAGCCCCTGCCTCCCTCACATCACCCTGCTTGGACCTGGGAGACGGCTGATAGTCAATGACGGGTAAGATCCCTCGATGGAGGGGACAACCTAAGACATGCACAGCTGAAATGGCATCAGGGAAAAACAACTTGGGAGACACGGAGAAAGGGCAAACAGACCCGCACCCCTCAGCTCAGCTTGGATATGACCAGGGTTCTCATTCTATCTCAAAGAAATCTCCTTACTTCCTGGTTGTCTTGCCCTTCCCCTCACCTGGCTCAGACTTGAAACAATGCTGGAGACAGTCCTAAACTGGATCTGGCGGGTCCCAAGGGAAATCAGGCCTAGAAGTAAATTCTTTAAAGCATGCTTTGTTTTTCCCTCAAAAGCTATGATAACCAGCTCATTCTGGGAAGGAAATTTATGTTATTCACAGACCCTGACCCTAAACCCCTGGAGCTCTTATGTTTACTACGCTCTCATGTTTACTCGTCTCCTATTGGACCCATGTAAATCAATGTGTTCCTGCCATTTGTTTTCTTCAAAATATCATCTATTTTCTATAAACAGTAACATACTGCTGTAAAAAAGATCACCTGTACATTCCTATTACCTAGCCCCATTGTTAACTTTTTCAATAAAAGCCTTTGGAAAAAGGGGCTCGGGTTGCCTTCTCCACTAGAGGGAAGAGCCATGTCCCCTCTCCTGGCAGACAGAGAAGTGTTTGTGACAACTCGTGTTTATTTCCCCATCTGTGACACCCCTGGGTCAGGCTCTGCAGGATCAGAGCCCAGGCTCCCACCTCAGCTGGCCCCATACAATGACCCTCAGACCCAGGGGCCCTGCACATCACTTCCAGCAAAGTTGCTTATCACTTTTGTTCTACCCGAATTAAAACCAAAGGCTAGAAAATCACTTCTATGAAACTAGAAAGCTTGCTGCTGCTGGGAATACAGTTAGCCATTCTGCTAAGCCATGTGTGAAACCCAATAAATCACATCATTTATTTCAATATGCTGTTCTATAATCTTTGTTCTGGCAGGCTCGTTTTGTGGTTTGCACAAACCAGTGAAACAATATCCTTCCAGTGTTTCACATTTCCCAATTGATAACAAGAATCACCTCCTAGGTATGTGGTTAAGTCGCAACATATCAGAATTTATGTATATTATTTTAAAATGTGCATAATATTTCCAAAGCTTTAAAAGAAAGATTTTCATTTCTAGCTTAAACTGTTTCTGCTAGACAAAACACGTATATTCACACATACCCACGTCCAGAAGGTCTTTAAAAAAAAAAAAAAGTGTTTAAAGGGCTTTTCATTAGATTGCCAGTGAAAGGAGCTTATAGAAGTGCAACTTTGCATAGTTCATTGTTTGGTTTTCATATATTGTGGGAATAATTTCTCCTGAGGTTATCATGAAGTTCTGAAGAAAGGCAGACCTGAAATGGAATCTGAGGTCTGCCACTTAATGGCCATGTGGGCCTGGACCATTTCTAATTTTCTTAAAGTACTATGTACTCATCTGTAAAATCAAATCTGTATCGAATCTATGTCACAGTTTGAAAGATTAAAACAATTCACAAACTGTCACACAGAAGTCATGCATGGCTAAGTGCCTAGCACATAGTAAGTACTCAAATTTCAGCTTTCATCATATTACTTGAGCACAGTGATGATAATTTGATAAAATATAAATAATTTTTTAAGCATAACAAAAACCTGCTCTTTAAATAAAACTTTCTTGCTGGAAATATCCAGTTTCAAAACCATAACATAAAAGCTTGACTACTGGCTGTTTTTCTGCTTGAGCTTTTCTTTTTTCTTCCATTAGGATGTCCTTTCCATCTCTCTTCTATTTTCTTCCTCCCATTTTATCTGCTGAAATAGAATCCAATGTCTGAATCCCTACTTTCTCACTCATTGCTGGTATGTCATGGTAAGTCCAGATGCAGATTTGGTATGTAAATCTCATAACTATGATATAAGTAAAAGAGTGGTGAAAATGAAGGACTTTATAACAAGGACTCAAATATTTGTCAATTCAAAGACTGGACAGCTGAACTCACAATGCAAATTAATTTCACATCTTTCTTTTCAAAAGAATCTACTGCTGGGGACACTAAGAACTAACAAATAAGTTTAACTAAAAGTGACCCTTCTTTTTAGATCTGCTAATCAAGAGAATTTCAAAGTCCAGAAAAGTAATTTAGCAACCTTAAGTTATATTTATAGACTAAAATTTCAGTCCTAAAGACAATTTAGAAAAAGTGTTATGCTTTCTAGAATTTAATATAATATAAACGAAATGTTCATCTTACAGTCAAGAAAGTACAGTCAGAAGTTACAGAAACTTTATTGAAAAAGTCAAATGTTCATAATTTTTCAAGTATACTAGAAATCAGGTCTCTATGCACTTACAGGACTTTCAATGAAAAAGTAATAGACGTTTTCCTAGGTTACCACAAGAAATACATATACATAGTCTTTTAAAAGTTATAAAATAAGCTAATTTTACTTGAAAATTATACTACTTGAATATCTGACGCATAACCATGCAACCAGAAGTATGAGAAAATGATGGAATTTAACTCTATTACACATAGGTTCCATTCCAACGAAGGTATCTAATTCAAAAAATGACTTACCCTTTGAGCTCTTTCTTTTAAATCTTGATCTTGAGCTAAAAACGATTCCAGTTTTTTCTGGACATCTATAAGTTTTTCTGGATTGATTCTTTGTAACAAAAAGATAAAGGTTAAACTAAGACATTTCAATTTTCAAAAGTAAAACTAGTACACAGCTTTTTCCTCTTTTCCTTAGTATTTTTATATCTATAACCTTATTCCTCATCTATGAACCAGATTAGACTGAAATTACATTACACAGAAATTTGACTCTCTTGCATATTATTAATAATACAGGAAAAAGAAATGAAAGGTCAAAGATCTGTAAACACCCAAGCTGAGTGAATGAAAGATACAAAGGTTAATAACACAATTAGCATTGGTAACTTAAGTCTGTAAAATTAGAAAGTAGCCTTTTGTGGGAGATGATGAATCATCAATGAAATGGAATAAATAAAATCTAATGTCATTTGTATATTACCATTTTCAGTCAAATATCATAAAACCAACTTCAAATAAACAAGTGGCCAAGAGACATTAATACAGTTTTCCTTTTCTTAATATTAGGCATTATATAAAAGAACTATTACTTAACTCTGCCCAGTTAGGATACAGAAAGAAGTGAAATTCTTACAAGGGTATGGGATTCACAAAAGAAACCCACTTGTTTTCCTGACTTTAGACTGAACCACTTTGTTCACACAAGGCTGAGGTGATCATAGGCAGTGGTAGAGGAAGTGGTTTTAGTTAGGTTGTGTTGTTTTTTTGTAATTACAGTAAATTTCAAAATATACAAAGGTAGACAACTCTCACTGAGACAACAATTACCACCTCACGGCCAATCTTGTTTCATCTAAAGTCTTTCCCACTCCTACCCCAAATTAAACAACCTTCCCAATTATTTTCCTCCAAATAAACACAAGGGTGTTTCAAGGACCCCAATACAAGTGAACTTCTGTTCAATTTTGCTAATGCAAAATCTAAATATCTTCAATGACAGGGGAATACAATCCTCTGAAATGGATAATTAATTTTCATCCTGAAAATTTTCATCCAAGAGATTTAATTCCTTTAACCATCAGTGTCTCTTAAAGCCAAGTTCTATTGTTCATCTTATTTTCTCCACCAACAGCCTTCTGAAAAAGTTATAAAACAAGACACAAACTACACAGCAAAACATAACAGAGGTAGGAATTAAGCATAATAATTTCATGCCATCATTATCCAAACAGTAACATCATGACACAGAGTAGTTCTTACTTGATTTCCTTCACAGGCACTTTCTTCTGGAGAAGCTGTTGTACCATCCCTTTTTCTTCTGAGGGAAGCAAAATTAATAAAGCTTCGCCATCCTCTTTATACCTAAACAAAAAGCAAATAACATCTCTTCCACATCAATACAAGCTACATTTTATATTTTAACAGTTTGATGAACAGGCAACAAGTAAGCAAATTCATTAATAAGTAAGTATTAGGAATACCATTTTATTTAACTTTTGTGACAACAGAAAACTGGGGCTCCAAATATCTTTTTCAAATTTTCATCACCACTTTTAATACCTAGTGACTCTGTGGCTATACCATAATACAAGATCTAGATCCTAATAAACAAATCAATTAAACAGAATTTCTTAAATAGCTTTCTACCTATGTCAAGGAGACAATTTCTCATTCAAATCACTAGAGCAGTGAATTTTCAACTAGTGGGCTGCGGCACACCAGTGAGCCATAAGAATTTTTAAAACATGCAATACCTGACTATGCAATTGGGGCACTGACCTCTTTTCCCTTAGATTACCAAATTTAAAAAAAAAAGACAACAACCAACACAACAGCAGCTGTCCAGTGTGAATGAATCAAAATTATGCCTCTATTTTTGTCAGATCAGCAAAAACTATATTTTGTATGTGCTGCAGAATTTCAGCAATTAGTTTATGTATGTCATGTGATAAAAAAGTTGAAAATCGCTGCACTAGAGTGATGTAATAAAGTTTATCATTTAATAAACATGAAACCTAACACATTAAGGAAATCTAATCATCTTCCCAAGGACTTGACTAATAAGAAATGGATCTCTACCAGGTAAAAACTTGCCTCCAATCCATCTACTTCTTCTCCCTTACCTAGCAAAATCTTATGTCATGTTGTACCATCAGAAATTTCTACATAAGCAGGCCACAAGGTACCCACGGTTACTTAAGCTTCTTGTGCTATGTGAATACAGATTTCTGCTTACTGCTTGATGTAATAGCTGACACTAAGGTATCAGCTATTACATCAAGCAGTGAGACAGAGTAGAATTGGGTATTTGTGGAAATTTTTTTAAACATGCACAAAATAAAGTAATCACAAAGCACCCTCTTCAGAGTTCCATAAAATAAGAGGGGCAAGTTTTTATAGTTAACCAAATAAACTATTTACTGAGAAACTGTGCCAAACTGTAATAAACTGAAGAAAAAAAGAAACAGAAGATGAATATCCCTGTCTTCAGTGATCTAACAATCCAGCTGACTAGAAAAGATACACATACACAAAAGCAAGAGATTTAAGAAAAAGCCCCAAAATGGTAAATAAGTGTCAAAGATCAACTACAGGCAATAAATGCCATGAGCTCAGAAGTGAAAAGAGACTACTCAGGGTTACCCAGAGAAGGAAAAAAAACCAAAACAAAACACATAGCAGATGGAATTTGAGGTAAGCCTTGAAAATAGAAAGGAAAAAGCCAAGGTATCCCAAAGGGGCAAAATGACACCAACAAAGAAACAGAAACCAGAAAATACAAGGCAAACTTTGAACTAACAATAGGAGATACTCAACTGAAGCCAGGATATATAAGTAAACAGCAGGAAACATTGCTATAAAAGTACATTAGAATCTGGTTTGGAAGAATCTTTGGATGCCTCTATAGACAAAGACTGAATACCACCGTATGTAAGCAGAATTTTATTACTGAACACTGGGGGGAAAAACTTTGTTGACTTACTCTTCTGCACTATAAAGACTGAAGGGCAATTTTTACTCCACACGTTGACTTTTTTCCACTTCTACAGATGAAGTGAAACTCCAGTGTAATACCTTGACAGAAGTTAAGTGTGTGTGTGTATCTTTACCTGTACACAGACACATAGGAAAGTATGAAATAAACCAAAACTGTTAAAAGTTTTAAGTTAATTCATAATTTTTTTTTTAAATTAAGGGGCCACTATATTCCAAGCACTGAAACTGAGTAATAAAACAGACGTAGTTCTGGCTGTCACAGAACTCACAGACTACTACAGACAGATGTTAAAACCAGTAAGCAACAGTAAAGTGGTATGAATATTCCAGAAGACATGCAGAAAGCTATGAAAACATGTAAGGAAGACTTCTACTGAATGTAGTCTAGGAGTCAAGAAAATTGCTCTAAGGAATGACCTCTGTCTAAGAGCTGAGACCTAAAAAATGATTAAAAATTTATCAAACATTATGGAGAGTCAATTTTCCAAGGAGCAAAGGCAGTAGTTGAGAGAGTCAAGTTTTCTCTTCTTTATGCTTATTTGCTTTTTCTATATATTCTAAATGCCTGTGTATTAAAGAAAGGCTGAACATACACAGGGTTGGGCAAAAGTAGGTTTACACTTGTGAGTGCACAAAACAGTTTATTCTTCTATTATTAATAATTATATTATTTTTTCGCATAAACTGTAAACCTACTTTTTGCTCCATCCTGTATCTACTCCTTTTACTAAGTAGATTTCATAACTGAAAAACCAGTAGCAAATACCTTCTTCATTGTATTTTAATACAGACTAGTGACTCAAATGTTTCATCTTCATTTCCTATGAAGAAATATGAGTTTAAAGCATTCCCCTAAGCAGTGTTGGTCTAAACTAACTGTGAAGGCAGAGGTTATTCATAGATGAAGTAGTGAGGAAACAACCTGAGCAGACAAGATATCTAAGAGACATCACAACTTCTGAGACTCCAAGATTTCACCAGGGACCAGTTCAGCATCGAAGAGGACAGAAATTAGTTAATACTGACCACTATGCAGTACACCTACTAAAATGCCCTCAAGGCAGCTAGACTTGAGATATAGTCAGTAAAAAGGCTTATTTTGTGCGGCCCAAAGAATAATCAGGAAGGAAGGGGATTCAGTGGATTAAGGATAAGCAACCCTTTTAACACCCTGCAGCCAAATTCAGAGATGGAAAGAAAATAAACAGTCCCCCATTCTACACAGGGCCCGAACTATGGCAAATGGGTAAAGAGGAAGTGCGGGGATGTTAAAAAGGCATCCACTAAAGGTTCCTGTTCTTCAGACTGACTCATGAGCAGGAATAGTAAGTCTAATAGTCTGTATCTATCTTATCAACTCATTCATGCTCCCAGGAAGAATCTGAGGGAATGATTAAAGTCACAAGACTGCCATATCCAAACAGTTTAAAACTAGCTAACAGAATACACACACACATACACGCACGCACGCACGCACGCACGCGCGGTACATGAGGTTAAGACAGACCACAACACTGAAATTTTATAAGATTCCCAAAGGAAAAAATGGGGGGAAAAAATCTAAAGCTGAACCACACACAGTAAGTATCTAATAAAAAGACCACTAGCCATTTTGTCTATTTTACATAACACAAAGCTTTTCCCAGAAACAATGAAGCATAGATTATCTCCCACATACCAACACCCGGTAAGCTTCTATTTCAAAAATAAAAGCACTTTTAAAAAGAAGGCATAAGCACATTTCACTTTCTTTTTTAATGCTTACAAGAACCATTTATTTACCCATGAGCTAGCTCTTAGATTTCAAAAGCAATATCCAAAGCCCAAGGCTAAGTTTATGTATAAAGAGAAATAAATGTACTTTATATGACCTACATTTTAAAACTCCATATATTTAGAGAAATTATTTTAAGAAACAGTCTAGGCACCATACAAAAAGCCCAGAATCTGAAACAACAACAATCTCATTTTTACCATCATTATTAATACCATGTTAAATTTATATAGCTCTTTAGAATTTATACAGAGCTTCATCTTACATTAATTTTCCAAACTTAAAAGCATCCAAACAATGGAGGAAGCAAATAAAAAATAAAGTTCCTGAAAGGTCAAGAAGGGGGAGTGAGATATTAGGGGGGAACTGATCACTATATATCAGTGACTTTTAATTTCTGACCCATTACTTTTTTTCAACTATACCAGGATTCCCGCCAGAAAGAAGGACCCTCAATAGACTGATCACGACTGTTTGCTATTAGGAAACTTGCCTCTACATCCTAGAGCTCACTAGTATTTCTAGCTAATTTAGGGGATCCAGACCTTTGGCTTTTGGAATCCAATGGTAATTCTTCCATTTGAGATAACCTTGAAACAAACTAGGGACAGGGGAAGGAAAAAAAAGCCTTGCCATTCTGGCAACAGTTGCCAACTACCCAAGGACTATTAATCCTCAATTATTTCAGTTCAGATTCCCCAACACAAACTCCATTCTAGTTGAGTCTTTAAGTGTCCTTTAATTTTGCTCATTCATACCTCTATTGCTGCAGCATAATCTGGCAGAGTTCACAACTGCCTAGCCACGCTCAGTTCTCCAAGCTTAGTTCTCCAAGCTTGGTTCTCCAGGTTACGAATTATAAAAGAATGTATTTAGAATAATTCCATTTTTGTAATATTTTAAAAATGCACAAACATATTGCACATGAAAATTTTCTAGGTGGCGGGATTTGGGTATTTGTTTTGCCATTGTCTAAAATGTGTACAGTGAGTAAGCATTACTTTTATAATAAAACAGAAGTTATTTAAAAAAGTAAAAAATTTTATACGGTTTTAATAATCTACATGTTTTTTTCATCACTCGTACTTCATTAACACACCCTAGTCCTACCAATATTAGCATATTTCCTTATTCTGACCATTACCTTTGAAGACATGGGCAAATTTGCCTTCCATACCTAACATATTTATACCTAATCTGGTCACTAAATATTTGATGTATAAACAAATGTAAAAGATCCACGAGGAGTTACATTACTACAGCAAATTTTAACCAGTATGTCACAAGGGTTTTTACAACATATCTGACTACTGAATCAGAGGCACTGACCTCTCTTCCCTTAGATTGCTGAATTAAAAAATGACAAGAGCCAACATAATAGCCATCCGGAGTGAACGAATCAAAATTGTATCTATTTTTTTTTTTGTCAGATCAGCAAAAAAAAAAAAAAATGTGGGGGGTGTGTCGCAGAATTTTAGTAATTAGTATATGTGTGCCATGAGGTGAAAAAGGTTGAAAATTGCTGTATTAGCAGATAAAATACTGGATTTGGGGTCAAAAGAACTAATTTCAAATCCTAGTTTTACTATTC